TTGGAAACAAATGAACAGTACAAATGCTGCGCAGAGAGGAATGATTTTTAGTCATGTTTCTCGCTTCCGAACAGTTTCTCATACACATCTGATTTCTGCTTGGATACGAAAGATTGAAAACTCAATACTATCGAGTCTATCTCCTGCTCTTTCTTTTCGTACACGAGAAAAGTAATGAAAGCAATGGGAAGCCCTGTTGAACAAAAGAAACACAACAACAACAAATCTATATATTATTGAGGAATTACAACTGAGAGAGAGAGAGAGAGAGAGAGAGAGAGAGAGAGAGAGAGAGAGAGAGAGAAAGAGAGAGAGAGAGAGATCTATAGATCTTCCCCCACAGACGGCGCCAAAATGTGGATACAGAAATCCACACTAAGAAATTTATGTGTTTTGTAAGGAAAGAAACTTAAAAGAATTGAGGGCTAGATTCTCTCGAACAGATTGACAATATAAGCTAGCACTAACTGAAATAAGGAATTTGTATTAACTGGTCGAATGAAACGGTTACAAGGATTTCGATGGAAAGGATGAACTGAAAAGAGCTCCAAAAGCAGTTGCAGAGTTTTCAGGTGCAAAAAGTGTGTGAAAAAATCAAGCCGAAGGTCCCCAAAACTAAGCCATTCCCCTCCTTTATATAGCTTGCCTCGTCGAGCTTCGAGCTTCGAGCTTCGAGCTCCAGCGTGTATCTCGGCCACGTGCAGCAGCCTCCTCCGCGATCTTCAGACTCATTTGAACTGGCAGGAATATTCTCTGAATTGGCTCGGACTCTTCCTTATTTCTTGGGATTTAGTCCAACTGGAGCTCGACCTCGCTGATCGGAACGTCTTGTTGCTTAGGATTGAGTTGTTGAAAGGTGAATGGGCCTGGGCCACAGGGTTGAAACCCAGTCACTTTGGTTTAGTATGGACCTGTTCGTTAGACTTGAGTGGACCGGATTTGAGGTGTCAAATCCAGCTCCAACAACAATCTATTAAAATATGAGTATATTATTGTTTTTTCATAATAAAATTGAAACATTTTTATTATTTATCTCCAATTTTATAATGAAAATTTAGAAAATAATATAAAATTGAAAGAAAATATTATTTTTAATTAATTATTAAAAAAAAATTTATTCAAAACCTATAAATTAATAAAATATCAAAGTTTTAATATTATTAATTTATCGAGTTACTGTAATTTTTTTTTTAATTTCCATTATTTTTATTGCTAAACAATGCAAACACGCGTAAATAATATTCATCGAAACAAAACCACCAGAACTGAGTAGAAGAGAGCCAAAACAACAATGAACCTCAGAAAAAAAAAAGGTTCAAACCAGAGCAGAGGGACAGGTCGTTGGAAACAAAAGAACAGTACAAATGCTGCGCAGAGAGGAATGATTCTTAGTCATGTTTCTCGCTTCCAAACAGTTTCTCATACACATCTGATTTCTGCTTGGATACGAAAGATTTAAAACTCAATACTATCGAGTCTATCTCCTGCTCTTTCTTTTCGTACATGAGAAAAGTAATGAAAGCAATGGGAAGCCCTGTTGAACAAAAGAAACACAACAACAACAAATCTATATATTATTGAGGAATTACAACTGAGAGAGAGAGAGAGTGAGAGAGAGAGATCTATAGATCTTCCCCCACAGACGGCGCCAAAATGTGGATACAGAAATCCACACTAAGAAATTTATGTGTTTTGTAAGGAAAGAAACTTAGTAGAATTGAGGGCTAGATTCTCTCAAACAGATTGACAATATAAGCTAGCACTAACTGAAATAAGGACTTTGTATTAACTGTCGAATGAAACGGTTACAAGGATTGCGATGGAAAGGATGAACTGAAAAGAGCTCCAGAAGCAGTTACAGAGTTTTCAGGTGCAAAAAGTGTGTGAAAAAATCAAGCCGAAGGTCCCCAGAACTAAGTCATTCCCCTCCTTTATATAGCTTGCCTCGTCGAGCTTCGAGCTCCAGCGCGTATCTCGGCCACGTGCAGCACCCTCAACCGGATATCTCGCCACGTGCAGCAACTTCCTCCGCGATCTTCGGACTCATTTGAACTGGCGGGAATATTCTCTGACTTGGCTCGGACTCTTCCTTATTTCTTGGGATTTAGTCGAGCTGGAGCTCGACCTCGCTGATCAGAATGTCTTGTTGCTTAGGATTGAGTTGTTGAAAGGTGAATGGGCCTAGGCCGCAGGGTTAAAACCCAGTCACTTTGGCTTAGTATGGACCTGTTCGTTAGACTTGAGTGGACCGGATTTGGGGTGTCAAATCTAGCTCCAACAATAATCTATTAAAATATGAGTATATTGTTGTTTTTTCATATTAAAATTGAAACATTTTTATTATTTATCTCCAATTTTATAATGAAAATTTAGAAAATAATATAAAATTACAAGAAAATATTATTTTTAATTAATTATTAAAAAATTTTTTTATCCAAAACCTATAAATTAATAAAATATCAAAGTTTTAATATTATTAATTTATCGAGTTACTGTAATTTGTTTTTTAATTTCCATTATTTTTATTGCTAAACAATGCAAACACGTGTAAATAATATTCATCGAAACAAAACCACCAGAACTGAGTAGAAGAGAGCCAAAACAACAATGTACCTCAGAAAAAAAAGGTTCAAACCAGAGCGGAGGGACAGGTCGTTGGAAACAAAAGAACAGTACAAATGCTGCGCAAAGAGGAATGATTCTTAGTCATGTTTCTCGCTTCCGAACAGTTTCTCATACACATCTGATTTCTGCTTGGATACGAAAGATTTAAAACTCAATACTATCGAGTCTATCTCCTGCTCTTTCTTTTCGTACACGAGAAAAGTAATGAAAGCAATGGGAAGCCCTGTTGAACAAAAGAAACACAACAACAACAAAGCTATATATTATTGAGGAATTACAACTGAGAGAGAGAGAGAGAGAGAGAGAGAGAGAGAGAGAGAGAGATCTATAGATCTTCCCCCACAGACGGCGCCAAAATATGGATACAGAAATCCACACTAAGAAATTTATGTGTTTTGTAAGGAAAGAAACTTAGAAGATTTGAGGGCTAGATTCTCTCGAACAGATTGATAATATAAGCTAGCACTAACTGAAATAAGGACTTTGTATTAACTGGTCGAATGAAATGGTTACAAGGATTTTGATGGAAAGGATGAACTGAAAAGAGCTCCAGAAGAAGTTACAGAGTTTTCAGGTGGAAAAAGTGTGTGAAAAAATCAAGCCGAAGGTCCCGAGAACTAAGTCATTCCCCTCCTTTATATAGCTTGCCTCGTCGAGCTTCGAGCTCCAGCGCGTATCTCGGCCACGTGCAGCAGCCTCAACCGGATATCTCGCCACGTGCAGCAACTTCCTCCACGATCTTCGGACTCATTTGAACTGGCGGGAATATTCTCTGACTTGGCTAGGACTCTTCCTTATTTTTTGGGATTTAGTCGAGCTGGAGCTCGACCTCGCTGATCGGAACGTCTTGTTGCTTAGGATTGAGTTGTTGAAAGGTGAATGGGCCTGGGCCGCAGGGTTGAAACCCAGCCACTTTGGCTTAGTATGGACATGTTCGTTAGACTTGAGTGGACTGGATTTGGGATGTCAAATCCAGCTCCAACAATAATCTATTAAAATATTAGTATATTGTTGTTTTTTCATATTAAAATTGAAACATTTTTATTATTTATCTTAAATTTTATAATGAAAATTTAGAAAATAATATAAAATTAAAAGAAAATATTATTTTTAATTAATTATTAAAAAAAAATTTTATAAAAAACTTATAAATTAATAAAATATCAAAGTTTTAATATTATTAATTTATCGAGTTACTGTAATTTTTTTTTAATTTCCATTATTTTTATTGCTAAACAATGCAAACACGTGTAAATAATATTCATCGAAACAAAACCACCAGAACTGAGTAGAAGAGAGCCAAAACAACAATGTACCTCAGAAAAAAAAAGGTTCAAACCAGAGCGGAGGGACAGGTCGTTGGAAACAAAAAAACAGTACAAATGCTGCGCAAAGAGGAATGATTCTTAGTCATGTTTCTCGCTTCCGAACAGTTTCTCATACACATATGATTTCTGCTTGGATACGAAAGATTTAAAACTGAATACTATCGAGTCTATCTCCTGCTCTTTCTTTTCGTACACGAGAAAAGTAATGAAAGCAATGGGAAGCCCTGTTGAACAAAAGAAACACAACAACAACAAAGCTATATATTATTGAGGAATTACAACTGAGAGAGAGAGAGAGAGAGAGAGAAAGAGAGAGAGAGAGAGAGAGAGAGAGAGAGAGAGAGAGAGAGATCTATAGATCTTCCCCCACAGACGGCGCCAAAATGTGGATACAGAAATCCACACTAAGAAATTTATGTGTTTTGTAAGGAAAGAAACTTAGAAGAATTGAGGGCTAGATTCTCTCGAACAGATTGACAATATAAGCTAACACTAACTGAAATAAGGACTTTGTATTAACTGGTCGAATGAAACTGTTACAAGGATTTCGATGGAAAGGATGAACTGAAATGAGCTCCAGAAGCAGTTACAGAGTTTTCAGGTGCAAAAAGTGTGTGAAAAAATCAAGCCGAAGGTCCCCAGAACTAAGTCATTCCCCTCCTTTATATAGCTTGCCTCGTCGAGCTTCGAGCTCCAGCGCATATCTCGGCCACGTGCAGCAGCCTCAACCGGATATCTCGCCACGTGCAGCAACTTCCTCCGCGATCTTCGGACTCATTTGAACTGGCGGGAATATTCTCTGATTTGGCTCAGACTCTTCCTTATTTCTTGGGATTTAGTCGAGCTGGAGCTCGACCTCGCTGATCGGAACATCTTGTTGCGTAGGATTGAGTTGTTGAAAGGTGAATAGACCTGGGCCGCAGGGTTGAAACCCAATCATTTTGGCTTAGTATGGACCTGTTCATTAGACTTGAGTAGACCGGATTAGGGGTGTCAAATCCAGCTCCAACAATAATCTATTAAAATATGAGTGTATTGTTGTTTTTTCATATTAAAATTGAAACATTTTTATTATTTATCTCCAATTTTATAATGAAAATTTAGAAATAATATAAAATTCAAAGAAAATATTATTTTTAATTAATTATTAAAAAAAAATTATCCAAAACCTATAAGTTAATAAAATATCAAAGTTTTAATATTATTAATTTATCGAGTTACTGTAAATTTTTTTTTTTAATTTTTATTATTTTTATTGCTAAACAATGCAAACACGTGTAAATAATATGCATGGAAACAAAACCACCAGAACTGAGTAGAAAAGAGCCAAAACAACAATATACTTCAGAAAAAAAAAGGTTCAAACCAGAGCGAAGAGACAGGTCGTTGGAAACAAAAGAACAGTACAAATGCTGCGCAGAGAGGAATGATTCTTAGTCATGTTTCTCGCTTCCAAACAGTTTCTCATACACATCTGATTTCTGCTTGGATATGAAAGATTTAAAACTCAATACTATCGAGTCTATCTCCTGCTCTTTCTTTTCGTACACGAGAAAAGTAATGAAAGCAATAGGAAGCCCTGTTGAACAAAAGAAACACAACAACAACAAATCTATATATTATTGAGGAATTACAACTGAGAGAGAGAGAGAAAGAGAGAGAGAGAGAGAGAGAGAGAGAGGGAGAGAGAGAACCTATAACCAATATGCTGTGAAGAGATATGGCTCCAGCGAAACTTAATACTACCAAAACGAAGACCACCTATGACAACATAAACACCGAACCAGTGTTACAGAGTTACTACCAACTATGATTTTTGCGACCATTATTTTTGTCCCGAACTTAAATACCTCAAGAAAGAAGCTCCAATCATTCCCCTGGCAAAGAGATTTTAGAGCTTTAACAGTGGTGTTCCATGAAGAGATCACTGACAATGAGAGGTGATGTGACCAGTCTTTCGTGAGATGAAACTGCGATGCAGGAATCTTTTCAATTGTATAACCAAATCTGCAGAAAAAGCATATAAATATTCAGTAAATGCAAGTTTTATTAGTTCCTGATTAAAGAGCACCCAGTGTTTCAAACATGCTCTCTTTCCCTTTCCACTGGGACATGAAGATGATTAAAAGAAATATGCATCTCCTGAAAATTGAAGGTATTATATTGAATCTTACAATTTCTCTGGTAGAATGCCATGGAGGAACAAAAATACCGAAGATACCATTAGAGCCTTCGAAAGAGCAGTTATGATGGTAGACCCAGTTGCAACAAAGTTATAATAGATACTAATTAGAATGAATATGGCAGTGAGAGTCTGCTTTAAATCCTTCCACAGAAGTGTATCAGCAACTGCAAAATGGTGTCAGCAATCAGCAAATATGTATGATAATGAATGAATCAAGACCGGAGTAAATAGTTCTGAATTGAAATAAATATGTCTACTTTTACTAACAACAACATCCTAAGCATCGTGACCTCCGATGTATGAAATCCCACTTAAATTCACAATAATCTGGTTGCTAGGAACTTAACACCGTCATTTTTAGGAGAGCCGTGAGGATCTTCAAACTGACCCAAGACATTAAAGTAAAAGCAAAGTGATGCATTTTAAAAATGAAATACATAGCCATACCCTTTCCGCCTCCAAGGATCCTAGAAGCCTTGGATGGGCCTTCTCTTTTGGATTGACTTGCTGCTGTCAGGTGAGAGAATGAGTCTATCGTCCTTCGTATACCTTCCTGTAGGATCATCAAGTCATGCATTAAAATTGTGATATCTAAGCATATGTTGCATCCAGAACCAGTAGCAATGGAATAGATGCAACAAATACACCTCTTTTTAAAATTAAATATTCTATAACCTGAAGTGGCACCACAGGAGCATAGCCTAGCCGATCCTTTGCTTTCGTGGAGTCGAATGTTCTGCTGCATGAGAGCAGCCTAACTCTTGAAGGTGTTAGCTGTGGTACTTTCATCCCATATGGTCCCAAGAATTTATATGTCAGTTCAACCAGATGTGCAATCGGCATCATGACAAACGCAGGGATCTTTATGCTTGGCCTGCAAAGTATTATAAGGTAGGAAGAACCGTAAAGGGTATGGGTCAGTTAAGTGCATTCCTCCTTAGATAAGAATAGCCATCAATTTTTTTCTGACAAAGTCATAAAACTATACCCACGAAGAAGTTGGTTTACATTAAAACAATAACAGAAAATCTTGTCAGGCACAGAACTGTATACATTGGATATATCTAGTTATTTAAAGTTTATACAAGGATTATTCTGCTTTCTACATCCGAGATCAGAAAAATTATCCAAGATCACACTATAGATTCTGGACACTGTTTTGTTATCTCCTGCTGAAATAGCATATCTTCTGTAAAATAATGCTTTTTGATAATTTCATCTACTTTAATCCTCTTCATCACAAGTTACCGACAGTCAAATCTTAAAGGAAATAACGTTTGAGCTCAACTCAATCAGGATGCAAAAACAAGAAATCACATGAAACTAGGATGGGTCTTTCCCCTCCATCGTGCATAGGGGATCTGACAATATAGAGCAGAAAAATTGTGCCGCAAGTACATAACCATGACAAGCACTAGATAAGAACCCACATAAAATTGAAATATACAATACCTTTCGTAGTCAAGTCCTTCGAGAAGCTGTGACATAAATTCCCAAAATTTAATTGGCTCCATGTTGGTAATGAAATAGGCCTGTAAATCCATTAAATGTCAGGCCAGCCTACAAGTAGGATTGTCCTACAAGGCTCATCATAAATAAATTACCATCTGCGTATACGCCATAATTAAAATTTTAAAAGTTTTTAATTCAAATGCCGCAAGAAAAAGTGTAATGGAAAACATCTCAGACTGGGGAACACAGCATAAAAGAAAAACACAAAATCTCAAACGGAAAAACCAGCAAGGCTCTTTGAAAGTTCACATAATATTATAGTGAATACAGATTCTGTCTCAGTTGTCATGGTATATCTGATGCGTTTCTGATAATTTAGGTGTGCCTAAACAGCATACACAAAAATGGCTTCCTTAGTTCAGTCCGGTTCACCAAATGACAACATATTCTAGACATATAGAGCTACAAAACTATAGAGACCACAAAATAAAAGAGGTGAAACAGAAGCCAAACTTCACCATGAAAAATTAAAGGCATGAAATGAACTGAAAACAATCACCTGGCCTGCAGCTTTCGTAGAAACATCTCCTCCTGAAGCTAGAGCACGCTCAGCACAGACATGGGCATGAGCAACATTTTCAACGTAAGTGAAATCATAGAGATTATTCCCATCACCTATGATAAACTGGACATTAAAGAAGCAGAGAACAGTTGTATTAAATATAAAATTTATAGAATGTTTTAGGTCAAAGAAGCAAAACCAAGCAAACAATGCATATAAAGAGATCCCTAATCATGTAAAGCACCTCTTAACTAGCAGTACACCATTTCCAAAAGAGAGAACTCCAATGCACATAAACCTAAGAGAAATGATGGCAGATAGAGAACAAATAAACTCCTACTATGCAGAGCCATGTTTCTCAACTAGGAACCAATGTCGCAAGGCGCAACTTGGAAACCATTCCCCTAGTACAAATATACATTGTTGCTTTCCCCATAAGCCTTTGCATCTCGTGTTAGGCTATTGCATCTATGACCTAGTTTAAGTTTGTTTCCAATAAATCCACATCACTAGATCTGTCTAGAGATATAGAAAACTCAGCCCTTTAGATTTGTAGCTTAAAGCTTGAAATAAACAATCTCCGCAGAGTCAATACCCCATTTTCTGCGTAAAACAAACTTAGATTATTCTCTCTCTGCACTAATATAACTGAATATTTCACATTGCTTGCTTTTATTGTATATATTCGTTCTCCACTCCCTGTGAATCAAACTAGTTTTTCCAGTGTGCCAATCATCCAAGCCATCTTAAAATGTCAAAGCCTTCAATGTATAGCATTATCATGAGTTTCAAACACTTTTAGAGAAAAACGAGTCAAAAATGGCTCCTGCCTTCACGAGAATAACAAAAGTAGACAAAAGGAAGGCTGACAGCAGATAGAGGTGCAAAGAAAATGATCCAACCTTGGATTTTCCAGCCTTAGCAGCAGCAACAAGTGAAGGAACCAACAATCTATCACCAGGACCAAAAATACTACTCGGACGTATGCAACAAGTGAGTAGTCCATTACTTCCATTCGCCTTCATGATCAACGCTTCTCCTTCAGCTTTAGTTGCTGAATATGAGTCATTGTGCTGCAAGGATGAAGAATATAAAGCTCCAAAACAAGCATATAAGTGCTAAAAACTAGAATCACCTAGAAGATCCAGTGTAAGATCAGAGTTTCATATAATCATACTAATGCCATAATTCAGTCACACCAAAGCGTAATTAATACCTTGGATGGGTAAGCCATCGATTCATTACCATTCAAAATACCATGAACACCATCAAACACAACGCTAGGAGAGCTCGTGTAGATAAGCCTCTTTACTCCATTATCAACACAAGCATCAATCACATTCTTTGTTCCTGTAGAAAGAAAAATCCCAAAACAAGGCAGCATAAACAAACAAGAGAACTAACAAATTTTTCGGTTTCATTCCAGTTTCTATTAAGTACCTTGAACATTGACCGAGTACTGAAGCTGGTGATTATTGATAGAAGAATCCGGAGCTGTCATGTGAAACACAACCTCAGCTCCCTGAAAAGCTATTCCAATGATCCATTTTTCTCCTTAGAATCTGACATTCCGGGAAAGCGTAACAGTTGAGAGAGCAAGATTACCTTTGACGACTTGTGATTTATCACGGATATCAGCGGAGATATATTGAACCCTACCGGATCTCATTGCATCGCCGAGAACTCCACTCTCTTCTTCAGGATCAAGCTGAATCGCCGGAGTCAAATCGGCGATGCGGACGAGGAACATCTCGTAGCGAACGAGCATCTCGACAAGATGCCTCGCCGCAAATTCTCTACCACCGGTTACGACGCACCATCGCTCCGCCTCCGGCGCCATGGCTTCTCCGGCAAAACAAAAACAACAAAAATAGCAATCAGTGAATCGACCATCCTTGAAACAGTGAAGCATTACGCAATTAGTGAATCGATCATCTTTGAATCAGAAGAGAACATTACGCAAGCAAAGATAGTTACAGCATTACCTTGAGACAGCGAGAAAGATCTTTTGCAGGTCGATGATTCTGTAGTTAAACAACACTGCTTTCGTCTCTGATGCGCCCCCACACCTTCTCTCCCACCTATTTTGCTATTTTCTGTTTCTTTTTTCATATACAAAAATAACCTTCATTTACCGATTAAAGGAATGTTGTATTCCATATTTTGAAACAGAAAATTGGGCTAGTCATCCCATATTTTGAAACAATGTGAGTCAACAACTCTAAGGAGAATGGTTAATTTCAGTCTCATCTAAATTTGTGGTGCTTTTTTTAATCTATACAAACTAGATTTTGGCTCAGGTATAGATTCTTGAAGTGAAATTTTATAAGTGTTCAAATTATGTGATATAAAATGATTTATTATATATATTAAGTTTTTAACTCGCACTACGCACGAATCTATATTAATAATTTTGTTTAATTCTTTTTTGGTTAATATGTTTTAAATTATCAAAACTATAATATACTAGTCCCGTATTTCATACGGGGAAAATTGTTTTAGATTTTCATAATTGATCGACATAGTTTTAATATTATTTCACCAAATGTCTACATTGAACAAACTAACACAATGTAACTTTGAATAGTTTTAACATATATTGAACCATATAACAAATATTACATTTTAATTTGTTTCAGAATCTAATATTCAAATGTTCCAAGACTTGCAATCAAGCTCTCAGCAATAAGTTTGAAAATTTCTTCATGTAATAATTTTTGATTCCTTTTTTTTTTACGACAAAAACCATATATTAAACTTATGTTCCAAAGATGCTGGGTTCAAAAGCCAGCCACTTTGGATAAGTTGTGTCTACATGGGAAAAGATTAAACCACGGGCTTGAGCATCTTTTGCAAGACGGTCTGCCCGGACATTACGAGAGCGTGGAACAAAATCGATGGAAAAATTTTGAAAGTTGGGGCGCAAAAACTCCAATTCTTCCAGTTCTGTTTTGATAAAGCCGGCCATTCCTCCTCCTCTTTAATGAGTTTAACTAGCTGTTAGCAGTCTGTCTCGATCACCAATCTAGTTGTCTGCATGGATGACAAAACTCGCATTGCCCACAAAAGAGCTTCAAATTCAGCATGTAAAGGTGATAGAGTTTGTTCAACCGCCATAAGACCATATAATCGACTGCCTTCTTCCAGCTCAATGACTAAGCCCCCGCCTGTTATATCACCTCCCTTAACCCATGAGGCGTCCACTTGACATCGGGGGTACCTGGGGCTAGAGTCCGCTGGGCTTAATGCAATACTAGTGTCCTGCTGCTCTTGCTCCTGGGTGATGTTTAGGGGTTCTCCCAATTCCGAGATTTTTTGTGCAACTTTCCATGATTCCGCTTCTTGTATAGCTATCTCCAAGGTCTCTGTTGGTGCTATGTCTTTGTTGTTGAAAACTTTTTCATTCCTGGCCTTCCATGTATACCATAGAATCCAGGGAAAGGCTTCCAAAGACTTTGCCGTCTCTCCTCGTGTCGGGACCCAAAATAAGAGGTAAGCTAAGTTTTGGGATATTACTGGACACGGGAAGATACCCGGAGGGGATGGGATCACACTTAACGCCCACATTTGTAATGCTGGGGGGCATTCAAAGAGTACATGGTTGATTGACTCTATCTCTGCTCTGCAGCGCTGACATCGGCTGTCCGTTCCACAGTGACGATACATTAGTTGGTTATTTGTGGCCAAACATCCTGAAAGGGCCTGCCACAAGAAGTGTTTGATCTTCCGGGGGGTTTTTAAAGCCCAGACGCTACTCTTTAACGGGGTGAAGCTCGGTTCTAGGACCTGTTGTATTCCCAGTTCGTCTCTCATTTGTACTGCCAACTCATAGCCAGTCCTTACAGAGTACATACCCGAATTTGAGTAGGCCCATACCATCCTGTCCGGTTTGTATGCCCTGCTGGGTCTGATGCTTTTTATACGCGGAATATCCTCCGGATCGATTAAATCATTGAGGGTCTCAATGCGCCATCCCGAAGTGGCTGGGTCTATCAGATGATGGACATATAAATCCGGATCTCTCCCTCCTCCTATGTCAATAGCAGGTCTTGGTGGGCAAACTGGGATCCAGTTATCATACCACACTCTTGTGTTGATCCCTGAGTTTATTGCCTTCCTTAAACCTTTTTGCAGGAGTTCTCTTGCGGACATGATACTCCTCCACCCATAAGACGGATTGTTTGCCTTGCTAACCTCCATGGGGGTCGAATATCTAAAGTATCTCGCACGTAAGACTCTCGCCAACAGGGATGACGGATAGTGTATTAGTCTCCAGAGTTGTTTTGCCAGTAACGCCAGATTAAAACATTTTAGGTCTCTGAACCCCAAACCGCCTTTATCTTGGCTTACACAGATTTTTTCCCAGGCAACCCAATGCATTCCTATATTATTCTCCTTTGTACTCCACCAGAATCTTGTGATAGCTGCATTAAGCTTCTTTAGTAGATTTTGTGGGAGAAGGAAGCAAGACATGACATAAGTAGGTAGAGCTTGCGCTACTGACTTAATCAGAATTTCCTTCCCTCCTTTTGAGAGTAATTTGACTGACCAAGCATTTATCCGGGTACTCAATCTATCTTGAATAAAAGCAAAGACTTGCTTTTTGGATCCACAGATCTTTTCTGGTAGCCCCAGGTACATTCTCATACCGCCTTCTTTTGTGATGCCCAGCGCCTGTTTTACCTCCTCCTTTTTCTCTGTTGGAACCTTACTCCCAAACAGGATGGATGATTTTGCACAATTCAGTTGTTGTCCTGATGCTCTCTCATAGCAGTTTATGATCTTCATGAGTTCTTCACATTCTTTCTTATCAGCTTTGCAGAAAAACAGGTTGTCGTCTGCAAACAGAAGATGTGATATGGTTGGGCAGGTCTGGGCTACTTTAATCCCAGTAATCCTTCCTTCCGCTTCTGCTCCTTTGATTTGAGCTATCAGAGCCTCTGTTAGAATAATGAATAGAAATGGAGATAGTGGGTCTCCCTGCCGTAGGCCTCTCGAGGGTCGGATATTACCCTTTGCTTCCCCATTAAGTAGGACTTGGTATGACGCTGATGAAATACACCATCTAATCCACTCGATCCATTTCCCTGCAAATCCTATTTTTCGCATCAGTGCCTCGAGAAAGCCCCACTCCACACGGTCATAAGCTTTACTCATGTCTGTCTTGATGGCTACATATTTAGATTTGCAGATTGGGTTTGTTCTCAGAGCATGGAAGACTTCCTGAGCCACTAGGATGTTATCTGTAATTAGGCGACGAGCTACAAAAGCTGATTGGGTCTCCGAAATAAGCTTCGGGAGGAATCTTTTTAGCCTCTTGCTTAAGATTTTTGAGATAATCTTGTAGCTGACATTACAGAGGCTTATGGGTCTGAACTCTGCCATTTCTGCTGGTCTTGTTATCTTCGGGATCAGACAAATATGTGTCTGGTTTAACCTCGAGTCAAATCTGTCTGTGGCAAAGAAATCTCTAACCACTCTAATGATATCTTTTGAGATCACTTCCCAAAACTTCTGGTAGAAAAGACTGGTCATTCCATCTGGACCCGGGGCTTTTTCCGGGTTTATTTCAAAGATTGCTTTTTTGATTTCTTCATCAGATGGGTAGCTTGTAAGTGCAGCATTTATGGCTGGAGTAACTTGCGCGGTAACATACTGGAGAGCCTCTTCGAAATGTTGGGGCTGTGAGGTCGTAAACAGGTTTTGAAAGTAATCCGCGACCACCTTTTCTAGTCCCCGTTCGGTTTCCACCCATATTCCGGAGGCATTTTTAAGTTTGAGGATCCTGTTTCTAGCTCTTCGTTGCTTAGTCGTAGCATGGAAGAATTTTGTATTCCTGTCCCCTTCCTTTAGCCAGAGGGCCCGGCTTTTCTGCTTCCAATATAGCTCTTCTTCGCGAAAAACTGTACATAAATTCCATTTCAAGGTTAGGAGCTCCTCATTTGACACAGAGTCATCTTGTTGGGCGGTCTCTAGTCTCTCTTTAATCTTCTCAATCTTTTTCCTCGCATTAGACGGGTTTAGGCGTCTCCAGGATGCTATCGCTTTTCTACATTTCCTAATATTGGTTTACAAGTTTGGGGTACTCGAGACATCAGAGGTACCCCAACCCTCAATGATTGTTTCTAGTAGACCTTCCTTTCCTATCCATCTCCTGTCAAATTTAAAATTCCTCTTAACCTTTGTCCGTCGCGAAAGAATACGAGCCAATACTGGCCGATGATCTGAGCCCCATAGTTTTAGATACTCCACAGAAGTGTGGGAAAAAAATTGATGCCAAACTTCGTTACCTATGGCTCTGTCAAGCTTGCATCGCACTCTTCCATTCCTTCTATTTTCAACCCAAGAAAAGGAGTTACCTTTTGTCGAGAATTCCACCATCAACTTTGTAGTCACTTGAGTTAGCTTTCGTTTGGTATTAGTTTCGAGTCATTCCCATCAGTGGTTGAAGAGTTACGCGAATAAAGTGAGCACATGTCCATCTAGAGTTTTTACCGTTGATCTTGATCGACTTGAAGATCAGCTCGGACGAGTAGCCTCCGTCTCTATTCAGCATCTTCACTCTTGATGACAGTTGTAGCCACGTGAGTTATATTTCAGGAGGACTTGGTTTCAGGTTATTCTGATATACCGTTCAACAGATATCGCAATTTTTGTGAAACCGCTCAACCTGCATTGACCAGCAGAAGCCCATCGATAGGATTCATATCGATCAACCTAGACCGATACAACTGATCGATATGGTCCCAGACTAAAGACCACTTATGATATAAGATCAAGGGGGTATGATCTTATAGTTGATAGGTGAATGGATGGAAACAAAGCAGCTGGACTGAGGTCTCTTTCTACTTGTTCAAAGGATGATCGAAGTGGATGGTGATGGAATCAATCTGCTGGACTAAGGTCTCTTTCAGGTTGATCAGTGGATGGAATGGAAGGATGATGGAATGAGGGACACCACTCAGCTTTATAGAATAACCAGAGGTAAGTCAAGAATTCAAGAGAAAGGCTTCTCACACAATCTCAAAGAACTCTGGTTTTTGTTTGCAATTCTGAAAGAACAACAAAAGGGTTTTTCTTATTAATCAAGTGTAAAAAAATACATAGCTGAATGGAACCTTATATATGGTTCAAGCAGCTGAGGGCTTCCTTGGCCAATTTATTACAATAATTAATGCAAGAATCAAAATACAAAATCAAAGGAAAATCAAAGCAAGAAATACAAAAGTTCATAAATAAAAGA